CAAGATTGAGCTGATTTTGCAGGTCATTCCAAGCCCTGGGAGCGTAAACTGAAAAAGCATGTTTGCCAAGTTCTGACAGTACCCTTGGGACAGTTAGACGAATACATGAACCAGATTTAGTGTGTTGGTTGTTGGTGTGAAATGTTAATAAATTAAAATATAGGATGGTAATTTACCCAAAAGAGCCTTTAAAATGAATAAGTACAGATGTAGTTTTCTCCTTTGATATAAAGATAACCAGTCTAAGGAATCATACAACATAATAATAATAATTATAATTAATAATTCTTTACATTTATATAGCGCTTTTCTGGGCACTCAAAGCGCTTTACATAGTGGGGGGATCTCCTCATCCACCACCAGTGTGCAGCATCCACCTGGATGACGCGACGGCAGCCATATTTGCCAGACCGCACACCACACACCAGCTGATTGGTGGAGAGGAGACAGTGATGCAGCCAATTGAATATGGGGATGTTTTAGGTGACCATGATGGATGAAGGCCAGTGGGCAGATTTGGCCAGGATGCCGGGGTTAAACCCCTACTCTTTTCGAAGGACATCCTGGGATTTTTAACGACTACAGAGAGTCGGGACCTCGGTTTAGCGTCTCATCCGAAAGACGGCGCTCACTGAGCAGTATAGCGTCCCCGTCACTATACTGGGGCATTAGGACCCACACAGACCGCAGGTTGGGCGCCCCCTGCTGGCCTCACTAACACCATTTCCGGCAGCAACCTAGCTTTCCCATGTGGTCTCCCATCCAGGTACTGACCGGTCGCATCCCTGCTTAGCTTCAGTGGGCGACCATGTGAGAGTTGCAGAGAGCTAGCTGCCGTAAATACAGTGATGCGTCCGTGAGTCTGCACTTGTGACAAAGCGTATTGCTGCATGATAAACAGAATCTAATTTTCTTAGTAGGGTAGCGGTTGCGTGCATATAAAGATGTTCACTATAATCCATTATAGACAGAAATGTACTCTCTACTAATTTTTTGCGGGCTTTATAAGGAAAACTATTTTTTGACCGGTATAAAAAAAAACAAATTTTGGCCTAAGCTTTTTCAGTAACATGTCAATGTGTATATCAAAGACTAATCTCTCATCAATCCAAATACCTAGATATTTATAGAAGCTAATTCTTTCTATTTGAACACCGTTCAGAGTTGTTATTGTCTGGTCTGCTAACTTAGTCATGTACAGTATGTTGTCATAATGTACAGTATCCTGTAGTTGGCCACATGATCATCCTCAAAAGCCAGCATCCTGTATTTTGATACCGATCAGATGCAGTTGTGTCAGTAAAGGACTTCAGAAAGTAGTAATTTAGCCCTTAAGTTGTTCCCCTAAACACATCCACCTCGTGGCAGAAATCTGGACGCCAAAACCCAGAGTCATTCCTGCCAAAGACTGGCAGCAGGACGCCAGGAAAAATCCCGGCTGGTTAATATCCGAAAGATGACACAGCAGCACTGCTACACATTAAACCTTCACATGCTGTTCAGCTACATTTAAACAAGCACGAGTGATCTGCTTTTCAGCTCTGAAGATCAGATCTCAGGGATGGAAAAAAATGGTGGCTCGATGGTTAACACTGTCACCTCACAGCAAGAAAGTTGCTGGTTCGAGCCCTGGCTGGTCTAGCTGGCATTTCTGTGTGGAGTTTACATGTTCTCTCCGTGTTGGCTTCCGTTATTCAGTAGATTAAGGATCCGAAGGGACAAAGGAGACATCCATGGAGGAAGAGGAGAAGACGATGAAGCGAAGATGAGGACAACCATCCAACTTCGATACCGGTCGAAGAGTGGATGAATGAGGTGGCTCTTTAATAGCGTCCTTGATGACGGGGAACAGGTGTAGGTCATTAGAAAGCCAGCGATGCTTCGCGTGATTGGAGAAAGGGGGTTTGTGAGGGAGAGCGGTGATTGGGTGAGCAGGACGAGCAGGAACGAATTAAAAACACTTGTGATTCACAAAATATGGATAAAGACTGTTAATAAACCTTTTCTGTTTTCACAGTGTGATGTATAATGTTATTACAATTAAATTCATAGTTTTAGTCACATTTATTGTGTTGTATTTATTATTGTATATTGTGTTTATGCTTTAAATAGCCTATAATGAATCAGTAAACTTGAAGTTTGCTAAAAACTAGTAAAGCAGTCAATAAATAAATACATTTTTATAAGTGTGATGTTAAATGTTATCAGGATTATGATTTGTTCTAGCCCACTTTCTGTTTATATAAAACTGGTAAATAAATAAATAAATAATCGAATAAACAAATAAATATTGTTTGTATAAAACTCAAGAATATAATATATAAAATTGGTAAATATAAATTGTCGCCTCACAGCAAGAAGGTCGCTGGTTCGAGCCCTGGCTGCAGTTGGCATTTCTGTGTGGAGTTTGCATGTTCTCCCCGTGTTCGCATAGGTTTCCTCCAAGTGCTTCGGTTTCCTCAACAAGTCCAAACACATGCGATATTAGTGAATTGGGTAGGCTAAATTAAATAATTAAATAAATAAGGAAATAAATAAATAAGGTAATAAATGAATAAATCATATTGAAATGTATTGAGATAAACATAAAATAAATAAATAAATAAATAAATAAGGTAATCAATAAATAAATAATTTAAAAATGTTACTCAAGTATATATAAAACTCAAGTCTATAAAACTGGTAAATCTAAAATAAATAAATGAATAAATAATATTGAAATGTTACTCATGTTTATCTTCATTCATTC